CGATGCCCATTTTATCGCCTTTTTCGCTCACACTCTCATTCTCTCATTCTCTCATTCTCTCATTCTCTCACTCGCTCCAGCCTCGAAGCCTGATTTATTAGCCATACGCCCCCTCCATCCCATCCCATCTCCTCCCACCCCACCATATTCATTACAAACACACATACACACGTACACACATGCATGCATATACACTCGCATACAATAATACATAAGATCATACCTAATGCATGCACAAACTCACACTTACACATATACATATGCATACACACACACACACACACACACACGTGCAGGCAAATAATCCGCCATCAACACGCAGATTTGCCAAAGTGAGCTCAATAATGCTGCCTAATTAATTGCCGCGTTGGGATTGGAGCTAAATATGCTCTCCAATTAGTCTAATAGACACACCTGCACGCGTAGCTCCCGTTTCACCTTCTCGTCACAGCCACCATCTCGAGGCACCGCCGGCCCTCGGACCCACCTTCCGTCCACAGCCTCGTGGGCAAAAAGATGGGCCGTACTGCATTGCATTGTCAAAGAAGACGCGTTTTCGACAGCAAAACAACTCGTCGAATTGTACCCGGTCGAGCAGGACAGTGTCTTCTGCTAAATCGGCTTGGCCCCGAGCTCTTTTCTCGTCGGGCTAGCCCCTCGTGGCCATGGTTACCGGCAGCCAAGTGCTTCCATCCACCCAAAGCAACTAGTGCCGCTGGCGCGTGGGGACGTTGGCTCGTCGGATCGGCCGATTTGAGCTTGTCCCCCTCGGCCCCCGACGCCACTGCGAGTCTGCGAGTCTGCGAGTGTGTGCATGTGTGCTTGTGTGTGTGTGTGTGTGTGTGTGTGGCCTCTTTGCATCGTCTGTTATGTGCCAGTCTGCTCTCGTCTCCGGTTGGGGCCCGAGTTGCCGGAGGACAGGCAAAGACGATTCGACAGGAGGCACCGGATCGTGGGGCTCCAGTCGCTGTGACAACGAGACTCAAATCTGTGCTCTTCTGTGCACCCACATTCACCGGAAGACCTCCTCCCCCCCGGGGCTCTCCGACGAGCTCGACCGGAGAGGTCTTTTGTCCGTCGAAATCTGCCCAACAGACGCGCGATCCTCCATCTCAAGCAGTCGCTGTGGCGACGCAAAGCTGGCGTCCTCGAGGCTGAGATGCCGTGTCGTCCGACCAAATTGCACGAGGCTGGTTGTCAACGTGGTCTGTTCGCTCCTGCCCACGTCTCGCTCACACGCACGCATGGCACCGCTCGCCAAGCACGCCAAGTCTGGATCAAGGTCTGCCATCGCCTGGGCCAAGTACAGCAACAGTCCGAAGAAAGGTACCTCTTGGCGACGGCAAAGGTCAGCGAGGACAGAACGAATGGTTGAATGGGCAGCACAGATCAGCCAAAGTGAGGCACGAGGGGATGTCGAACCAAGTTAGGGGTAATTGGAGATTTTGGGATCAGGATTATGATCAAGTTTAGGATCAAAATAAAGAGCAAGCTGAGGATCAAGATCAGGATCAAAATAGGGAGCAAGATGATGGACAAGATCATGATCAAGTTTAGGATCAAAATAAGGAGCAAAAAGAGGATCAAGCTCAGGATCAAAATAAGGAGCAAGATGAGGATCAAAATAAAGAGCAAGATGAGGAACAAGAGCATGATCAAGATTAGGATCAAAATAATGAAAAAGAAGAGGATCAAGCCAAGGATAAAAATAAGAAGCAAGATGAGGAACAATATCATTATCAAGTTTACCATCAAACTAAGGAGCAAGATGAAGCTAGGATGATGAAAAGGATCAAAATCAATTTTAGGATCAAAGTAAGGAACAAGCTCATGATACAGTTCAGGATCAAAATAGATAAGGAACAAGATGATGATCAAGTCTAGGATCAAAATAACGAGCAAGATGAGGATCAAAACAAGGTGTAAGATGATGAACAATATCATGATCAAGTTTAGGATCAAAATGTGGAGCAAAATGATGATCAAGCTTGGGATCAAAATAAGGAGCAAATTGAGGATCAAAATAAGGAGCAAGATGAGGAACAAGAGCATGATCAAGTTTAGGATTAAAATAGAGAGCAAGATGTGGATCAAGCTTAGGATCAAAATACAGAGCAACAAGAGACTATATGAGCATAAAACCGCTTGTAAAGGTCTTTGGGTCGAAAAATCTGAGCTCGCTGAATACATTGTTGGTACAGGCTACTTAGTAAACTGGTCCAAACCACGACGTTTTGTTTGTTACCGAACTTTACATCAAACCGGAAGATAAAGCAGTCTGTCGAAAGTAACAAAGCAACAAACATTGTGAATAGGAGGAAGGATGCTAGGAAAGTGGATAGGAAATATGTGTGGCTGTTGGATAGGCTTGAGGAGAAAGTGGGCGGGAAGAACCGTTGAACAAGAAAGGGAGGTTGAATTAACCTCGAGTCTGGTTGAGGCAGTCGGATCTGCCATGCCATGAACATTGCATACATACAATAGACGATAACACATACCATAGCATGAGTCAGCACTAGAGGATCGTACGCTGCTGCTCATGAATTAACTCACTCACTTGCAAGCATGTAAAGCAAGTTTGTGGTAATTAACACAATCAGGAGATGGCTCATTAAGATCGGAAGGAATGACGTAAAAAAATTGATTCGGTTTGCAGCCGATCCCCTTTTCTCTGGGTCTAGAATATTTTTATGCCATTTCCTAAAGTATGCTTTATGGCTCTGAGGGGACAGACGAAAGATAAGCACAGGGTCATGGAGATTCCAGACGACTTGTTCGAACGATCCGCGGCAATCCTCCTTCGGCTTCCAGTGAAACAATTCCACGAATTCTTTACAACCATCGTTTCCTCGAAATGGAATTTCATGGCATATTATAGCGCCCTTAGTCTCTTGGTCTGTTATGTTTGGTGTGTTTTTCTTCGTAGATTATGCTTTCGCGATCATCAAAATGACAAGTGAACTCTCAGAAAAGGTTTATTCAGAATTGCATAACTTTGAGCGGAAAATTTGCTAACATAATCCAAGAGTCTTCACTCTACGCCAGCCATTCTTGTTTCGGTTTCAGTAAGGTTATTTAAAGACTTCTTTTCAACCAACTTTACTTTTGAAATGGAAAGTAATATGACAACTTTTGCACAAAAACTCGCTTCACATTTTGTCTTCTCGCCGCACTACAACCAATAAAACTATATTACGGCAAGTTAATAGAATTAGATTTTGTAAAATGTGTGGTTCTCATAATGTCGTTGCTATGTATTGTTTACTCGGTAGACGTTTTAATCTACTGACATCCACAAATAGGGAACTTGATCAGACATTGTGTGTTTGGTTAAAACTGGGTTCAAGGAAGGCATTGGCAAACTACACGAACCAATTAGAAGCAAAACTAGGCTGAGGCAATCCCCTTCTGAAATGTTGAAGGATGTGGATTTGCGTAAGTTGCCAGACGCGGCTGACGGGTTAGGAGAGGCGACTGACAGAAAGACT